GCAGAATATTATCACATATTATCTTCCTGCATCATATCACCATGCAGTTTCTTTTGGCGTTATTATTTTGCACCATTAGAGGAATCTGAAAGGATGTTCTCCAGTTCGGTTGAAGATTGTGTATGTGTGTTTGTGATAGGCTATTGACTATTAAAATGTGATTTTTCTCGCTTGTTAAAATAATGTGGGCTATTTGCTTGGCTATATGACATTCTTAGCTGTGAATCCTGCTGATCTAATTAAAGCCCAACAATTCAATGAAACTTACCTATATGTTTACTCACAATTCAACAACTGATTATATGGCTTTGGTGGAAGTAACCAATAGATTTTAAGCCTGTGCTGTATAGGTCGAAGGAGGTAGAAGAATCTGACTGGTAGACTAGACAAATGTTTCTTCAATGTTCATGATATGCCAATGTGATTCTCAAGCCCATCCACATAGCACAGTAACACCACTCTTCTACTTTAACTCCCATGGCTACATCCTGAGAAATCCTAGATTTTTTTTTCATTTGGTGAAGCACTGGAGCTCTCTGGCTGCAAATTCTTAATACTTCATAAATTCTAACATTTGTTTAACATATGTTTAACATCTAACATATGTTTTCATGGAAGCTGTTGTGGAATTGGATCATAGCACTGTGTGTGTATAGTGCGAAAAGACCCTCAGAGGGGGCTGAACAAGAATTCTTTTTAAGAATGTGCTAAAATTTGAAACATTATTCATATTAAGAATGAAATAAATAGCTTTTTTAAATCAAAAAAGTATTGTGCACCTGGAGTCTAATGTTCTACCCTCAGAGATTAAGATCATCCATAGAGGTCCTGCTCTCGGTTCTGCCTCCTTCGCAGGCATGACTGGTGAGAACAAGAGATGGGGCCTTCTCAGTGGTGGCCCCTCAGCTCTGGAACTCACCCCCCAGCGACATTAGATCAGCCCTCCCTCATAGCCTTCAGAAGAAAGGTAAAAATTTGGCTGTGCGATGAGGCCTTCAGGGAATAGTGCAGTGCAATTAACAGATCTGGAATATATGGAATGACTATGGAACGGCTTGGACTACGACTATGAATGGCGTGATTTTAATATGGATTTTAATGTTTTTAAATGTTTAATATGTTTTTTTAATTTTATTCTAATTTAATTTTAATTTTGTGGAATTATATGTGTTTTAAGACATTGAATAATTGCCTTGGGTCCCCTTCAGGGTAGAGAAAGGTGGGATATAAATAGAATAAATAAATAAATACCCATGCAGGTCCATGTTTCTTCCACTCCAAGGCATGGTCTGATGTGTATTTACTAGGTGTGAAGGGATAGGAGGATACCTCTCTGGGGCACACCATCATAGGTGACAGCGAGAAGGGGCAACAGGTCATGCCCAAGGACCTTAGCAATCTGTTGGCATTTTCCTCTGCATTCAATAAGTCACTGGAGATCTGGAAGAGCAATGCCAGCTCTGTTCCCCTTACTATCAAGATGGAGTTGAGTTGTGTCTAGGTGCTTCTATGTGTCCAACAATGTGTCCTCTCATTACTCAAAAATACATTCTAAACATGGAGCCACCTTATTTTTAGTTTCTACTGAAGTCTCTTCAAGAAGCTAGAGGGGGACTTTTGCAATGCTTCAGGTACATGAAGTTTAGTTTCAGGAAGGGTTTCTTCTTCTCCAATCCAGTATGCACAGGTCATCAGCTGAAGATGACAGAGACAAGGAAGTATCTCTTCACATAGCATTTAATTAAAACTATGGAATCCACTCCCACATGATATGAATGACAGCTGGCGATTTTAATAGCTCTAAAGGGAAACTAGACAAATTAGGGGGCAAAAATGGCTATGGTACTTGATGGCAATAGATTGCCTCCAGAATCAGTGACAATGTATGTTTTAGGGATATAATTCTTTGCTACTTTTGTCATCTAAGTAAGCAATAAGTTTTAGCAATCACCTTCTTGCTGTGAAGAATTTTTTAATATAGTTTTCAAAGTTCATTTGCAGTTCAAAACTTTTTTCTTTTGCAATTCACACATGTATATAGTGTGTAGAAAACAGTGTTTTTTGCTCAAGAAAAAAAGACATTTTATGCACAAAAATAATATTTCTGCACATAAATGTTATTTTATGTGCAGAAAATATTGCAGATAGGATCTTCTTTGAGCAAAATTAAATGTAGGTTTGGGGGGAGGAAGCAGCTTTTTTTTTTTTTGACAGATTACATTTTCCATATAGGAATGATATTTCTGTGCAAAAGATTATTTTCTGCACAGACAGTGCCATTTTTAATACAAATGTCATGTGCAAGTGTTGCCCCAAATGCAAAGATTTTCATCAGGATTTTTCCACAATTCTGAAATATTTTTGAATATTCTTTGCATTCCGTGTGTGAGTGTGAGTATCATGCCTGTGTAATGGATCATCAAGTCATTTCAACTTTTAGCTAACCTTAAAGTTTCAACATATGAAAAATTCAGTAGTTCACAAGTGCCTTTTTCTTTACACTAACTAAAGGCTTGCTAAAGTATCATCACTAAAATGCCACTGCCATTAGCTGCAAATGATCTTTCACCAGTGCAACCTCTCCCACTATTGCTGCTGATAGGATTGTATCACATCACTTTTTTTGTTGAGCCCTTTAGTTTTAAAAGGCTGAGCAAGATTATTTTGCTAAAATAAGAAGGGCATGGGAGCTTGAGAATTTCTTCTCCCTGCTAATTCAAATATTGTCTATTTCTTCTTCTGTCACACCCAGAATGTCAACCTGCTTCTTCCTTCCATAAACATCCGTCTTTGCCATATTCCCCACTAATCCCTCAGTAATAATAGCCAAACATAGGAATATTTTAATGCACATTAAAAGCATCACATTTCCTTACTGACCATCTAAAGTTGAAATACAATGAAAAAAATGTTATTCTATTGGTATGGCAAATCCAAGCAGTCATAGTCAGAACAGCCAATGATGAAGAAAGCTGGAAATTGCAGACCAAAATCCTCTAGTCATCCATCATCCATACATTCCCCAATTGAGGTTTAAAAATTTTCAGCACTCAGTTTTCATACTTTATGTGTGAATGCATGTGTACTGGATTCCAATTCCCACTAGTGATGGTGAATTTAGAATATGTAGGTTGCAAGCAAATATGATGGAATAATGGTATTAGTGCCTTACACATCTGCCTAATGGACTCCCACACCAATATTTTGCTGTTTTTCTTTTTGCTTTTGCTGTTTCTCTTTTTCCAAATGGGAAAACACGTCACTTGGTATGAAAAATTAAGTACTGAATTGACAGGAGTTGGTGATGGAAATATCTAGGGATATAACTACAGACACACAAAAAGAAAAGTAACTCTAGAAATCATGTTCTTCATGGAAAACACATATACCTGTTTAATCTGAAACTACAAGGGTAGTTTATTGATGTGTAGAGCAGCAGTTCAGTGAAGATCAAATAAAGCCATTATTTTGGGATGGGCAGCACTATTGTCCATTCATTTCTTGAATGGTCAATACTGCTGCTCTTATAGCCACACCTGCACGGAGTAATAAACATACAAGTTTCTGTTTTGATCCAAATCTGCAAACCAGTTCTAGTCATTTTCATCTACACTAGAAACTATTATTGGAGTTAATAAGTCTTAATTGCAAGCAAACTATCCCAAAATGCTTTGCATTACAGCAAACAACCTCATCAGATGAGCAGCCGGAATCGCCACGCATAGTGGCAAATCTGGCGGTGCCCATTGGAGTGCATGAGGAACCCGTCATCTCATGCCCTGCATCTTCCAACTCACCAGTAACCCCATTCCATTGGGGAAGCATACCCCCCTGGCCACCCACCACTGACTTTTATTGAACATAGAAATCCACCTGTGGCGTGACATGTCATGCACCAGTTCTCCTATACTTTTGTGAAGGAGCCTTTTTGGAAGTTGTTGTATGTTGTGGGATGGGAAACAAGGGGCTCCGTCATAACAGTATAGATCAATGTTTCTCAACCTGGGGGAGGGTCTCAAGGGGGATGTCAGAAGGGTCATCAAAGACCATCAGAAAACCAAGTATTTTCTGTTAGTCATTGGGGTTCTGTGTGGGAAGCTTGGCCCAATTCTATCATTCCCAGCAACTACAAATCCCAAATGACAAAATCAATCCCCCCAACCTTACCAGTATTCAAATTTGAGCACATCGGGCATTTGCGCCTAGTTTGGTTCCGTGAATGAATATACATCCTGCATATCATATATTTACATTGTGATTCATAACCGTAGAAAAATTATAGTTATGAAGTAGTAATGAAAATAATGTTATGGTTGGGGGTCACCACAACATGAGGAACCATATTAAGGGATCATGGCATTAAGAAGGTTGAGAACCACTGGTATGGATGAACCGACGCATACCACCGAAAAGTACCTCATGTGACGAGATTGAAAGATAGCTCATAACTAGAGAAAATCCTTCTCTTTGCTCTACTTGCCCAGTTGAGAGGGAAATGGGGAAAGGTGTGTATTGGGACTCAAAGCAACCTAGTGCTTTACCCTTGTGAATCCTGGCTCGACTACATTGATTTCCGTTGACTTGGTAAGTTTCACCACTCACACTATATTGTGAATGGGAGACCTACCATGTCAACAGAACAACACTGATAAAATCTTTCTCTTACTCAAGGGGGTACAACATGACATTCCAATGAGATGTATTCCTGGGAAAGGTGATGATGTCCATTATATAGAAACAATACACATATGAGAAAGGCATAATGCAAATATTCAGCAGAAAGATGATTAATTCACTTGGATGTCTTCCATAATTATCTACACCCACTTAGGCCTTAGGTCATGGAAAGATTGGGGTTTTTTTAAAAATCTCTCTAGCAATAAACTACAAAGCATCTTCCCCAACCTTTAAAGAAAGAAAACATTTTTTATTGATACAATATTAACCCTTCCACACTGTATTGTCTAATGTTGCAAAAGGACCTGAAACATAATACTCACTTGCTAATCTTGACGTCGCTGCAATTCCTGCTCACTGTCTCAAATCCTAATTCCTATTCAGTTGGGACTTGTTTCCTACAGAGCAAGAACAAAACCAGACTGAAAGTCAGACTGCATATCTAGGAATACAATCTTATGTGTGCTTCTTCTACATAAGGAAAAGACCTTTCTTTTCCTTGTGTTGGAGACTGAATTCATTTAGGTTAGTTTTTTCAGCAGGCACATGGCAGGAGTGGGTGGAACTTAGGTCAAAGGTGAAAAAGGCCACATCCCCTTCTATCGGAGACTGTTTCTCTCCCTTTCCGCCATCCCCATTTTTGTCCCTCTCTCTTTCTGCCACCCCTTCTATCTCTCTACCTAGTAGCTGCCAAAGTGCAGTAGCCACTTGTGCCATCACACCCAGACCCTATAAAAATAAAACTAAGATGTGCTCTTTGTCTGGGTGGACCGCAGGGGTCTTTCTTTAGAAACTTGAGATTCCAGCAACTGAGGCTACTACAGGCTTTGAACATCAAAACAGAATATTTATTTCTCAAAGTCCTTGCAGGCTTGGCACAGCTTGTTAAAGTTACAAACAAAACAGTCAATTGGTGAAACAATAGAGATTATCTTTCTTCTGTAACTGAGGCAACCTTCCCCCAAAAGTGCAGAAGAAAATCCTAGGGTGTTTTCACCCTAACCCTGAGCTGCTATGGTTAGAAAAAAGCAGGTTTTTCTCCTATCTATAGCTCAAGGTTAGCTTTGGAGATGAAGTAATGCTCAAGAATACTCAATGACTCAATATCTATCTATAACTCATTTGCTCAATTACTCAATTGCTATTCTATCTATCTATCTCAGTTAGCTTCTTTATCTATATAACTCAATACCTCAATAGTTAGCTTCTTTATCTATATAACTCAATTACTCAGTATGCTTCTATATAGCTCAATAGTTCTTATAATGGTTTTCTCAGAATACCTGCCTGACCAACAGCACATCTGAAGCTTTCTTCTCTACTGAAGGAGGCAGGGAAGATTCTAAAATGGAGATCTCAACCCAGGAAAAAAGGCGGTCCCTAGACTCAAAGAGATACTTTTCTAAACCAATAGCTGGAAAAGGGCCTGCAGGCTGGCTTTGCAGATTCTGATACTGTTTAACTTCCAGGGTGCTGCTAGGTCTGTAGCAGCCCTGGGGAAATGCAAAAGAGCACTAACCCATGCAACTAAAAGGTAATGCAAATTATGCTCCTGGAAGATGGAACACCGCTGGTGACTTTCATGTCATTAGATGGGTGAATCTGCTGTGAGTTTAATCTAAATTTTAAAAGAGGCATCTAATGTAGATTCAGGACTTTGTATTTTCTTTGAACCTCAGGTTAAAGACTAGAACAACTTCACTTCTCCAACAAAATAGAAGCCACCAACCACCTCTAGCTACTAACAGTGAAATTTGACCTTGGAATGAAGTTTGCCTGCAAATGGCTTATCCCTATGTAAAATATTGCAACCTAAACTTACTGCATCTTATTTATTTGTGTATTTGGTTTACTAGATTTTATAGTCACAGGATCCAAATCAGCTTACAACTAGTTAAAACAAAGTACAGCCAAAGTATAAATATTTATCTCTTGAAGGTAGAGGTAAAGGTTTTCCCTGACTTTAAGTCTTGTTGTGCCCAACTCTGGAGGGTGGTGCTCATCTCCGTTTCTAAGCCGAAGGACCAGCATTGTCCGTAACCTTCCAGATCATGAGGCCAGCATGACTGCATGCAGAGCCGTTACCTTCCCGCAGAAGCGTCACTTATTGATCTACTTACATTTGCATGTTTTCGAACTGCTAGGTTGGCAGAAGCTGGGGCTAACAACAGGAGCTCACCCCATCCTGCAGATTCAAACAGCTAACCTTCCAGTCAGCAAGTTCTGCAGCTTAGCAGTTTAACCCGCTGCACCACCACAACCCATATCTATCTGTTTATCATCTTTCTATTGTTTTTTTTAAATCTCTTTAGTTGTATAATAAATATTTTTAAAACCGATTTCAGGGTAATGGACAATTATATTTAAAACAATAGAACGTGACGACAATCCTAACAACAGCAAAACATTTAACTGAAGCAAAGAACAGCAGCCAACATAATTGACTAGATTTAATCAGCCAAGTAAAATGCCTTGGCAAAAAACCGGAGTGAGTTAGCAGCAAAAGAACATTGACGTTGGCACCAGTTGTATCACCATGGAGCAAGTATTGCACAGTTGAGGTACCACAATTTAGAAGGCTTTGTTCTACATTGTTGAGATGTAATGTACCTGAGTAACTTGTAGAACAATCTACCCTACTAATTTTAGGTAAGGTTATGTGTGGGCTGACTGGGCTAATTACCGTATATACCCGAATATAAGCCGGGTTTTCAGCCCCTTTTTAAGGCTGAAAAAGTCTCCCTCGGCTTATATTCGAGTCACTGTCCTGGTGGGAAGACATGGAGCTGAAAGAAGCCCTTCACCTACCTGCGAGGACCCTCACCTTTCCGTCTCTACCGCCCTCTCGGCACAGCAACCCAGCTGGGAGAGAGAGAGGAGAGGAAGGCAAGTGCAGAGAGATAGAGCGCTCCGAGAGGAAGAGAGGAAGGGGCGGGTGGTTGCTGTGCGGAGAGGGCATATGCCTGTGCTGAGCTCTCTGAGTATTATTTTATTCTATTGTTATTCTTACATTTATTATTTTGTCCTATTATTATTGTCATTACATTTATTATTTTACTCTTATTTATTATTATTGGAAGGATACATACTAGTAAGCACATTTACACTGAAGAAAGTTAGAATAATGATTTCATCAGAGTTGGACAGTCTTAAGTTACAGTTTTATGTAAATATTAAAAACATTTAACCTACTGATGCCACAATTAATATAATTTTATTGGTATCTATTTTTATTTTTGAAATTTACCAGTAGCTGCTGTATTTCCCACCCTTGGCTTGACTTAAGTCAATAAGTTTTCCCAGTTTTTTGTGGTAAAATTAGGTGCCTCAGTTTATATGCAGGTCGGCTTATACTCGAGTATATACGGTATCTAGAATAGGTCAACAGAGCTTGAAGAAAGACACACCTAGAGGATTCAGTAAACTCCCCCAATGCAAGTTTGGATTCAGAAGGAAATGGGTATTTAGTGCCATGTTTAAGCTAGAAATGTTCCCTTAGTCAAAGAGAATCTTTCTGCAGTCACATTCTTGAAACTCTTCCTCATTCAACAGCAAAGGAAACTAAATAGTAGAGTGCAAAGCTTTCTGAAGAGTTCCTCTTTCCTTTTCCACAATGGGATGGCCTCTATATTCTGTGATGACAAAATGTGATGTCTGCCATAATTTATATATTAAGCAGGAGCCAGTTCATTGCACACCATTCCTTGAAATCTGTGTGACTGTACTTGTAGTTTTCTGAGTTAAATGTAAAAGAGTTGCCCTCAGATTTGCCCCTCTTTAAGATGTTACAAGGCCTTTTTTCCCCAAGTTGTCAGGTGACCTAACTTCAAATGCTATTCCCAACTCCATGGAATCAATTGCTGAATAGTAAGTCAATACACGAAGCCCATTGATTCAATGAATCCAGTCTAATTGGGGACTGCCAATGGATCTGAGTCATTGTTCAAGGAATGGAAGTCCCACCAAGAGCAGCAATAGCACCTGCCATAACACCCTAATTAAGAGATTTTCATTCTGCTCTCACTGTGAGATTAATTCTATGATTATTATTTACAGATCGAGACTGGACGGGTTACCAATGCAGGCATTGTTTTACAGATTGACAATGCAAAGATGGCAACCGAGGACTTCAGGCTCAAGTAAGTCCTTTCTTGAATTCCACACTTGTTCTTGGAAGCTAAAAATATATAAGACATTGAAGTTGGTCTTAATCTTTAATAATCAAAGCAATGAAACTAGTACCAAATAGCATGTGATATAGAGCATGGTTAAAATAATCATATACAATGTGAGTAATACTATTTATTACTGTAAACAGAGAGGAGCCTGTGGTTCTCCATGTGTTGTTCAACTTCAGCTTTCATCACCCACTGGCACCCTACCTAATGATGGGGCAATGGGTACTATAATCCAATAACATTTTGGAAATCTGCCAGTTGCCCAATAATGTTCTTCCCAGGATGTTCTTCTCAAGGCTAGAAGCAAAGTAGTTGGCAACTTGGCTAACCAACAGGCCATTCAGAATTAAAAATATATATTGTGGCTGTCAGTAGGACCTTTACATCCTAAGATGAAATATTTGCTCCACACGGCTTTCTTGCCTCTTCTAGATAGAAGAGAAAATTTGCAGAATTATGTGAGCAAAACTATCTGTTTGCTTTTGTCATTCCTGAAACTAGCTATGAAAATCTTTTAGACTAGGACTGAAATACCAACACATCATAGATAGGTGGTGTTCAGGCAGCATATTGGATAAGCACCTTGACCTATTTGGGTATCAGGAATCAGAATCACAGTCTGAACCTAAAATGTGAAACACATTGCTCCACCAGCCTTATTGAATGGAAAGGAAATGTCTTAAAGCAACCAAAGTTGGAGGGCTAAACTTCACTCATTCCCCAACAAACGCACAATGACTAAAAAAAAAAAAAAACCAAGATCACATTTGTTTTAGAAGTAAGTGGACAAATGTGTATTGACTAAGCATGAATTTGTCCAGCTTGGTCTTCAGCATGCATACTATTATTGGAGTCCTTTGGTGTGAATGTAGATTTGAACTCTGAGCAAAGTTCTGTCCACACACCAGGCATGTATAGGGTTTGTCCCCAGTGTGAGTCCTTTGATGTGAACGTAGACTTGCACTATGAGTGAAGCTCTTTCCACACTCCAGCAAATATGCTGATGTTTTTATGTTGTATCCCAATGCTTTTATATTAAGCTGCTTTAAGTCACCTGAGAGATAAAGCAAGGTAACAATAATAATAACAACAACAACAACAACAAACCCAATGTTGCCAAATGGGTTTGGAAAGCAATTTTCTTGGCAGGAAGGGGGCAAATTTGTTGCATGAAAAAAAAACTAGTTGAGTAATGTTTAGTCAGACAATGTTACATGTTTGTGTTTTTTTTTTCTTCTGAAGATTATGAATGCCCTGAGATAGCAGAAGGGCCAGGTGGTCCAAGTGCATATTTTTAATCTGTATTATTATTTAGACAAAAGTGAAAGATAATAAGTATATTGGTAATCTCCCATAGAGAGTTGCTGCTGTCCAGTACCCATAACTATGTCACTTTTTCTTTTTGACTAAGATATGAGGCAGAAAAAGCCCTCAGGCAAAGTGTGCAAGATGATGTTGAGAATATTCGCAAAGAACTTGACAACATGACAATCATAATAACTGACTTGGAAATGGATATTGAAGCTTTGAGGGAAGATCATATACTCAAGAAGAAAGAACATGAGAAGGTATGATTTAAACTTCTTAATGATCATTGTGATGAACATAGGACAAGACTAGTGCAAGTTGTCTAATGCTAGAACTCTTGGATCCTAGTTTACTGATGATGTTTTTCATGCTGAGACTTAAAAGCAACATTGCAATTTTAGGGGCTTAATCTGAAACCCATTGATAAACCTGTTGTTGATTATGATTAATTTGCATAAAGTAAAGGTAAAGGTTTCCCCTTGACATTGAGTTTAGTCAAGTCCGAGTCTGGGGGGTGGTGCTCATCTCAAGAGCCGGCGTTGTCCGTAGATGCTTCCTAGGTCACATGGCCAGCAAGACTGAATGGAGCACCGTTACCTTCCCACCAAAGCGGTACCTATTGAGATACTCATATTTTTGAACTGCATGTTTTCGAAGTGCTAGGTTGGCAGAAGCTGGGGCTAACAGTGGGAGCTCACCTTACTCCCTGGATTCAAACAGCTCACCTTTTGGTCAGCAATTTCAGCAGCTCAGTGGTTTAACCTGCTGTACCACTGGAGGCTCCTTTGCCATTTGCATACAAACAAATAAATAAATAAATAAATACAATATAAGTGTGGAACATTATTAAACAATATAAAAATACTACAAAAAGGAAAGAAAATGTTTCCTGAAATTTCTATGTGGTAGTAACAGCACTGTGTAAACTCTTCAACCACAATTGAGCACACAAGCATTAAATTCCTATCAATTAAAAACTGACACCCTGGATTTTCTGTCTGTTTACTTAGCACAGCATGCCCTTGATGTTATGCCCTGCTATTTTCTGGGACTATACCAACCATTTTGTACCCATCTTGATGCTGTTCTATCACATGAACCGCCTTAAAGGCACAGGAAGAATGGTGCTGGATCTATCTAGCCAAGTATTTTCTTCCCATCTGAATGAATTAGATACACAAGGAAGATATGCATGCATTTATGTTCCCCAACAAATGATAATCAGAGGCATACTGTGGAAGATATTTAAAGTAATAGTTGCCCTTGATAGCTTTATTCCCCATGAGTTTTTCTAAACTCTGTTTAAAGCGGTCAAGCAAGCATCCATTAGTATAACTAGCTGTAGCAAAGTTTAGTTATGAAAATGCACTTTCTTTGGCCAATCCTGAATTTCATCAAGGTGGTTAATTAGGCGTCCTGGTTTCTAATATGATGAGAGAGAAGAGAAATCTATTTATCCATTTTCTTTCTTCTCTCCATGCATAAATGAGATTGGGTCAGAGCTTGTCACACAATGGGTACATCTACACTCGATGCCACTTCAACTGTAATGGATTCAAGAGAGTTGTTGTTTTACAATGTCTTTAGCATTCCTTGCTAAAGAGTACCAGTGCCTCACCAAACTATAAATCCTAGGATTCCACAGCATTGATCCATGGAAGTCAAAGTGGTGTCAAACTACATTAATTCTACAGTGTAGATCCAGTCAAAATTTCATCATGAGCCATCCATATACCCGTGTGTGTGTGTGTGTATGTGTATGTTTGTGTGTGTGTATACACACACACATATCTCTTTCAACTTCTAGACATTCTCTTTGAACATCCCACAAATAGAGATCCGACAGATACACAGTGATATGGCTATTGGCTACCCCATACTCGCTCACTTAAGAGACTAAGGCTATGTAGAGAAAGCTGTGTGTTTCCAAACAATTTCTCTAACCAACTATTACAGCAGGGAAGGACACATGTAAATATGCCCTCTCCTCCTGGCCACCTTTGAGGATTAAGGATATATATATATATATATATATATATATATATATATATATTGCACTAAAAATATCACACTGTTACCTGTTATTGCTTTACCCCTACAAAGTCATGATGTTGGATTTCATTAACCCAAAAGTAATGCATTATGTGTAATACTAATTTGAATATGTTATTGTCAAGCTCTGGCTATTCCCAGCATGTTGTACCTGTCTGCGATGTAGCTATTAAAGATGGGAAGCCCTGAGGATATGTAAGAGTTAAGCATTTCAATCCCTGCCCCAGCACAAGAATCAAAAGCTTTGTTTTCTCCTATATTATTTTTTAAAATCTCAGATTATTTTCATGCCAAGTAAATATCTAAATTTGAGGCTATTTATTTTACTAAAACCTTAGTGAAATTCTCATTTGTCATTGATGAAACATGGACTTCTCAACATTTTGCTAACATCTTGCATTGATTCTGCAGTTCAAGATTCAAAGGAGCATCAGCTATACAAACGCAGAACGTGAAAGCAATAGGAAAGCGCATTTCACTAACTTGTGATATTTTATGATTTGCAAATACTTTGGGAAAGATGCAATTTCCTTCTAAAAACCAAAAGCAATCAGTGCACCTCCACTTTGTGGCTTCCTAGTTCTGACGGATTTTACCCTTATTTTCTCAGCTTCCCAAAGGCACTCACAGCATGTGAACCACAGGGTGATATTGTAAGGAAGGGAACTTTACCAAACCAGTTCAGCTTGCCTAATAATTAGGTTGTTTACATAGTAATCAGGCGTTTTCATTCAGCTGCTCCCATGGTGATAATTACAGAGGACCTTTATGACTTTTTGCACGGAAACATGGTAATAGACAGTTTTAAAAAACTATTGACAGAGGCAAAAGGTACCATTTCTGATTCATAAGAGGTTCTCCCCCTTGCAAAAAAGTTTCAAGTTCTATTACAGTAAAGACCAGGGTTTTTAAAGCTAGAGTAGTTCAATTTTTTTGTAGTATGACTTTGACCAAACAATTTTTTTACAAAAACCAGTATAAATACAACAGAAAATAATGCACTTGCAACATCCATTTGCTCCTACCTTAAACATGTCCTCTTCATTGCCTATATTATCTGGGAAATCTTCAGTAACAGGCTGTATTAGCATCTGCATGATTCCCAGATCATCCCAATCATTTCTTGTTATTGTTTCTTTCTCTATCATGATGCCAAATTTCAAGCCATCCCCTCTCTTCTGGACCTTGAACATCTTCTTTAAAATCTCTTATTGGAAACTAGGTTATATAAGAACCATGATTTCACTTGTTTGGGATGCATCTACACCTGCTTATATTTAGCTCTGGAGCTGCCCTGGATGCAGTTCAGGGGCCTCATTAGATGGGCAAAAGTGCCCATCATGTGACACTTTTACTTCACTTGCGGCATGGAGCCCACCGACTCCCATCCCATGGTGTCCATCTGCTTCTGGCAGGGCTCCATTGTCAAGATCCAGATGCTTTCAAACAATGCCAGACACAAAATAAGGTTCAAACACAGCTTTATTGTAAACAAAAGGACCAAAAATGCACTTAACTACAGTGCTGAAGGTCTTAGAAGTGATTTGGCATCAAAAAAAAGTTGATGCAAAAAACAAAAATATAATCCGGATTATAGCACTGCTTTATAATCCGGTATAAACAAAAGGTGAAGCAAACTGCTTGAAAATCAAAATGGTACAAAAACACAGTCACAGGAGCAGGAAAAACACAATTTCAAAACTAAGAAATGTTTCGGTCACAAAGATATTAACGTTCAAAGTCCAGAAAAGCCAGAGCGTAGTCAAACCAGTCCGTGGTCAATCCATTGGAGAACAAGGCTGGAATGCTGGAATCAACGAAGAAACAGAGGTTCAGGAACACACAAAGCTGTAACCCAGGACCCAAGGTAAAAAGTTGGCAACACAAAGAATTATGTCCAATAAAGACACTTTACTTCCTGCAACTAGATGTGCAAACAGAACCCCTTATATTTCAAAGATCGTCCTCAGAGCTTGATGAGCTCCCCACCCTCTCGTCATCACTATCAGCTGCCCCCAAGCCTGCAGCTGAGTGCTCATCCCTCCACCTCTGCCAATTACAGTCAAGGTTCAGATCCTGCCAAGAGTCACCTGGCTGCCAGTCCCCAGTGAACCCCTCAAACTCCTCGCTAGAAGTGGGCTGGTTACAGATGTCCCTTATGTGTTGCACACGGGTCCAATCAAATTCCTCCTCCTCCATATCACTCCCAGAACCAGAACTCCTCTCAAATCCCAGGAAGTCTTCCTCATCAGTTGGTGCACTAAGTATTTCCTGAATACGCTTCCTTTGTAATTCCCCCTCAGACTCCGGCTCGCGAGCAGCCCTCTTTACACCTCTGCTCACCTCCCCATTCCCCATTTCGTAATCTGAGAAGCCTGGAAACGTATCGGTATCACTTGGAGCCATAATGATATCCCTAATGCGCTGACGCTGCTGTTCTCCCTCCGACTCCTGAGGAGACCTTTCCACTCTGCTACTAGGAGTAGCAACTCCGTCAACACGCTGAACTACAACATCCATGGTGCACGTGAAGTGAAAACCTGGTAAACCACCATGGCGGCAACATGCTGGATTTGCCATGATATGTGTCAAATCCCATCCTTAATGTGATGAGGTTCCAGGAGTACCTCAAAACCCTTTCAGAGTCCATATGAACTGACAGTACATTGCAGCCACCACCATTGTCATTTTTTTGCCAGGCAAAAGTAGCTCCCTAGCAGAGCCTTGCTGGTGACGTCACTTCTGGAAAGGTCACTACAGAACACCCCAGCAATTGAATGGCCATCAGAACCTCCTAAGACTTGGTAGTTGCCAATGAAAAGTTCTGAACCAACTTCACGAAGTTAATGGAGACCCTTCTACCCCATCAAAATAAGCTCTATGCACATGTCTTCATGAATTGTGTTTTGAATCATGTGCATATAGGATTCCAGGCTAACAACTCCCATAATAAATACTCACGGGAAGTAACAAGTCAGCTTTAATGGAAAGAAAGAGCGATCTGTTAACTGCTCTATGTTATCTATTTAACAGATGTGGGTCCATGGACCGTAATAAAGTTTGTTGTTGTTGTTGTTGAAAGAAAGAGTCAACCTAGAGCAGTGTTTCTCAAACAGTGCTCCTCCAGGTGTTTTGGACTTCAGCTCACATAATTCCTAACAGCTGGTAAGATGGTTGGGATTTCTAGAAGCCGAAGTCCAAAACATCTAGGGGAGCACAGTTTGAGAAACACTGACCTAAAGGACTGCTTAATTTTTTTGAATTGATTATTTGAAGGTAATCTGAGAAATATGTTAAGGATGGAAGCACTAAAAAGAAAGGATGTATAATACACCAGCAGTCAAAAATAATTCACTGTCATCAGCAGTATGAGAAAGACAAACAAATTACATTTTTAAAAAGGTTGAAATTCTTGTGCAAGGAAAAATCAATATGTGAGGTGCTTAAGGAGTCACAGAAATAATTTTAAAAAACATCCTCGCCTCTCAGCCAGTTTCTGGCTCATTAAATCTTCCCTCAGAGCTAAGCCAAATCCAGGCAGAAGAAAACAAATATGGTTTTGTCACCTATAAATGGTGATGCAGAATCCTGTTCAACCAGCATAGTCCTCCCCTCCCAGGACTAGAAAAAGTTGTTGGCAATCTCTCTCTGGACTAAGATTCTGGGTGTACTTAATTGCTTTTTAATGGTTGGGAATGTGAGCCAGAGAGAAAGGAAGACATTACATTGAGCCACCCAGCTCCACCTCTTCTGCCTTCCTTCCAATGCTTGTCTAATTGCATATTACATTGTGAACCCTTTGGGAAGACACTGCACCATTCTTTGACTGAATGTGGATGCAATTAGGACGAGGACAAGGTGGCTGTGGTAACATGAACATTTAATCATGTAGGAGAGTGCAATCCAATATTCCAATGGTGAAAAGAAAGTGTTCCTTCCTTGCTACATCCTCCTTCATTTAAATGTATATTCAGTGTGGATTCTTGAACAAACTACATCCTGAAAGGAAGCACATAGTGGTGCATTCTAGAAACCAAAGCCAAAAACCAAACCACATCAATACCAGTGGTGACTAACTAGGAAACAGATTTTGGAGGCATGGTAGTTACTCCCAGGAACATGACTGATGTGAATTGATAAATGTCATAGTTAGGAAGGGATTGAGGAGAAACTGGAAACCTCATGGCACCTTTATGCAAATCTGTGACGCAACCAAACATAGAAACTTGTATGTCTTTAACTCCATTACAAATAAGAGAATCAGAGAAAGTGTACAGAAGGGTATCTTATATGTTCAGGGGGGGTTCAGCACACTCTGCTATGAAGAGAAATGTTTATTCTTGATATTTTTTAGCTTTTTTGGGGGGGACACACCAAAAGTAAGATATGAAATAGGCTTTCAAATTATTCATTGTATTGAGAAACTGAGTTGAGACAGTGTATGCCTCTCTCATCATATTGAATATGTAGGTTGTCCAGTGATCATTGCTTAGCAGAGATGGTAGGAAAAATACAAAATATCACATAACACATGATTTCTTTACAAAATTTGTCCCCATTATATGGTGATGGCCCATAGTTTAGATGTTATTAAAGGGAAGAAGAGAAATGTTTGGATGGGAAATTTAGTCACAGAGACAATATTTAATGTCCAGGTTTGGAAACAGTGTACCCATGAACAGTACCTTCTATATAAGTTGGCCCCATGTATAAGTCAAGGGCAGGTTTGTGGGGTGGGGGACATTATGGACTTTGATATGACTTATGGATTGGATAAGTCATTGGTCATTCTGCAGAGAGGGGAAAGCACTAGCATCACCTCAGGGAGTCAAATGTCCCTAGGTGCCATCAGAATTTTCCAGTTGTGCAACCTTTTTGTCATGCTTCGTGATGGCATGTATGACATTTTCCTTCTTTACTCCATCGTGTCTAGAATATGGAAGACTCCGGTGCTTTTAAGGATGTCAATGTGAACGTGAAGGTGAATACAGCTCCACAAGAAGACCTGGCCAAGATCCTGGCAGGGATAAGATCAGATTATGAAGCAATTATCCAAAAGAATCACCAAAGCCTTGATGCCTGGTTCCAGCAGCAGGTATACTTAAAATAAAGAAGAGCATAAATTTAGATGCATCCAGTGACATCCACCAAAAAATGAGACACATCTTAAGATGCTGAAAATATAGTATTTTATTAACAAAAACATGCAATGCACTTCAGTCTGTGCGTCTACATTAAAATATCACACATGAATGTGGGATAACAAATTGTGTAAGAATATTATTATGTTTGCACATTTTCTAAAGCTTGCAAATGCCCACTTAAAATCAAAAGGGTAGGAATTTCTGACAGAAGAGTTCCAAAATTATTTACTGGCAGAATAGGAACATGGGAATAAAGGTTGAAGTTTAAAAAAAAAAAAGAGCAGATGGTAGGAAGAATATTCTAGGGCACATTGAGCTAAAGCAGTGGTTCCCAGCCTTTCTTTGACCAGGGACCACTTTGACCAATGACCATTTTGACCAGGGGCCACTCTCCAACATTAGCACCAAAAGGGTTACAAATCAGTTTTTGGTCAACTTTAGATTTGGTTTGGTTATTTGGGGTGCTGATTCGGAAAATGGCATTGGATAGACCACACCAGCTCTAGTTTCTGATACAGAACATAGACACCCAGTAGTCGCCATCTGCTCTCCCACAGAAAATTATATTTAATAATCTAGAGCTGATGTGGTCTATTCAAGGGGTCGGGACTGGTCAGCGACAGGGAAGGAGGGTCAGGCGGTGTGAAAGGAGCAGAAATAAAACAAATAAAACAAAGAGGAATTAGGTTCGCAGACCAAATTTTCATCCTTGTGGCCCAGTGGTGGTCCGTGGCTCACAGGTTAAGAATCACTGAGCTAAAGGGAAAAGGCCTGTCAGAAAACTGACAGATTTTATAGGATTAAGAAATGGTCAGCCTCTTCCTTTGGAACCAAAGGGAACAAAATTGTAATTTTAAAATCCAGTTCACCTCGTTTTCAGCAGAACCTTTCCACTAGACTACAGCCCTTAAAAGAAGTTCTTAGGAGTATCCCTAAGTAAAACAAATACATGAGATTTTAATATAATTTCATTTAATAAAAGATCATATTTTCAGTATTCATAAAACAAGGAAGATGTGATTAGGTTGATCAAATTTTCTAGGATTCAGTAGCCTTCTCCATGTTTACTTACTCCCAGACATGTCAGAATACAGCTCCCATCACTCCAGTGTGAGCTAGGGATGATCAAGTTAGCATATCTCAGAAGTTTTATTTTGCACAATGTCCCATGGTAGTACTACATCAAGGGTATTTCAACCTGAATGCCTTCCCATTCCCCCTGGAGATAGATAGATAGATAGACAGACAGACAGATAGATTCAGGCATATGGTGGACTTAAAGTTTGCATTATGTCTCTAACAGGATGTTGGCCATTGAGTAAATCTGAAAAGTTGCAAAAAAAAAAGAGTAAAGGTAACAGATATCCCAGCCACTGTACTGTACCCTCCTTTCGCAATTGCTCCCAGCAGCAGTAAGTCTAGAAAGGAAGACTTCTCAATTAGACCACACAGGGCCCCACGAAAAGGGTGTGCTTGAAACACACTCAGTTTAACCTGTTGACAGCAGCAAGTATGAACAAAGACAATCACTTCTACTTTTGTGTCATAGATTGCAAATGACTCTTTGGAAGAAAAGCCCAACCAGGAAGAACAACAAAGCAACCAAAAGGAAATAAGTGAGTTGAATCGCACACTGCAAGGCCTGGAAATTGATCTGCAGACACACCTCAACAAGGTAACTACTGAGAGCATAGGAGGACATGCAGTAAATCATATTTCTGACACCCCCTCCCATGCTCAGTCATATTCTGCCCTGGTTTTAGTTCTGTTTATATAAGCAAGGCTGACGCTGCTACAAATGACAGTACAAATGTGAGAAATGACAGCAGAAATGTGGCTTCCTCAATGTACATGAGAATTACGCATATCAAGAGTAGAAACCTTTTGTCTGTTGAAAGGCTCGTACTCTCTGAGTACAATCAAGTCTCCACATTAACTAGGGTTAGGAACAAAGGATAGCCACAAAAGTGGAAAATTGTGAATAAAATTTACTATTTTTTAAACCAGAGGGAATACCTCTGTAGGAATCTCTAGAGAAAAGGCTGTTAGGAATTGTGAGAGTTGGAGTCCAAAACTCATGAAGTTTGCCCATGCCTGGTCTAGATCATCCATTGGAAGATGACAATAGACTCATGCTTGAGGACCTAGAGATTCCTAACGAGAACATATTAATTTAATTTGTGAATAATCAAATCTGCAAAAGTGAAAACTGGAAATGTGGAGGGTCAACTGTAATCTGTCAAGGGCTATTTTTGTTATTTACTGCTGTGGCAAATGAACATGTTTGGTTGCGACATTTATATCTGAATGCACTGCTTTTTTTGTCTTTGTTCTAATAGACAGATGAAAGCTTAGGAAAAGTTACTTCTTTGGATTACAGCTCAAATTCTCTCCTAGGTCCCAACATGGCCCAGTAGACTGGCGAATCACAGGGACTGCAGTCCAAAAAATACTGCAACCCTTATCCAAAGTCTGGACAGACAAAACAACTAGGGGGGAAAACCAGCAGCAATGTTTTCTTTCCTCATAGCATCATTTTACAGGCAGATGTACATACATACATTACTTCACTGTAGGCCACAGACTATTGGAACACCATGTTCAATATATTTTAAAACTGTCTCAGTGGGTATTCAGAGAGATATTTCAGTGAGAATGCTCCAACAACTGTAGGCATCATATTTTCCTTAAGATCATTTTATGAAAAATTGTGGTGAGTTTCCATAATGGAGTAGTGGAGGTTAGAGCCTGCTTGGAAGCTATTCTCTATATCTAACAAGATACCTTGATAATCCAATCTGAAATCTATAAAGGCTGCTTGTGGTGCTTCTGTGGTAGATGATGAAGAATTCTTCAGGTCATAGCTGCTGCTGCTGCCTTGATTTATCACTTGTTTAACCATGATGCCTTAACACAATAATTCCTCCTGAGAGATATAAGGGAGCAGCATCAATGTACCAGCCATGCAGGCTAAGGTTTTGTGATTACTCCATCCTACCACGTTCTCAGTACAGCCACTCTCCAGGAAGGAAGGGAGGGAGGGAAGGAAGGAAGGACTAGTTTTATCATATCCCCACCTGAACTTGGAACTTTCTGGATTACAATTTTCAGAATTTCTCAGTCAACATGGGTATAGGGTCAGGGAGTTTTGGTTGTCTCAAAGGTAAGTTTTCCACTGATGTACTCTACTGACCTTATCACATGTGCTTCTGGAATCATCATGCATCCTGGCATATCTGGCTTAGAGTGTGGATAACCTCACATCACCTGGCTTCCCCCTTACTTGATCCTATGGGGGGAAGTGCCCACTACCCAGCTTTCCCCCATTGATCCCTATGTAACATAGGAAGCCTCACATGTTCTGGTTCCTCTCCAGCTACTTAGCTAAATTATATGCTTAAGTTAGACTTACGATGAAAGACCTTCCAAATCCTTGGATAAATAAGCATGTTTTGTTCTTCCAGAAATTTTCCCTTGAAAACAACCTGGATGAAACCAGAGCTTACTATGCATTCCAACTTCAAAGCATCCAAAATGTAATCTCTCAATGCGAAGAAGAGCTTAGTGAGTTTCGACATGACATCAAGTGTCAAAATAATCAATACAAAGTTCTCCTTGGAATAAAAACTCGCCTGGAGACAGAGATTTCAACTTATCGCCAGCTTCTGGATGGAAAAGGGTAATGGAAAGTTTACCTCAAAGGGAAGGGGGGGGGGGGAATGAAACCTTTATCTAGGATCTGTTTCTTTGGGGAAAATGCTGTCATGCAAAGAAAGTATGAATCACAGCTGAAGCTTGTGATTTACCAAGCCTGAAAGCAGGCCTCAGGATGAAGCATACAGGATCATACCTGAATGTATCAACTATATAACACATTGTGCTACTTTAAGATGGCATGTGACCTATATAATAGGTGCTGCTCCTGAAGAAATCAAACATATAATATGACAGAAGACATAATACATTCCTCTGGTCCTCCTTTGTCTCCCTGTCTTCTCAGGATCATGAGGATAACTGTCTTCTCAGGATCATGAGGATCCTGGCCCCATGCTGAGAGAAGGGCTGAGGCACACACAGCTCTCTAGAGCTCTCAGCAACTGCACATGTGTCACTATCCTCTCAGCATGTTGTGGTGACCCAAAAAACACACGCAGAGGGGAGGCTGGAGGAGCGTTTGTTGCAGGGGGGTTCACACGTGGGAGAGCCCCTTGCAGACACATTTGATCCCCCCCAGTGCCAACCACCCTCAGCCTCCCCCTCTGAGCCAAATACCATTATTGAACACACACCCCACCCCTCCCAACCATGTGCCCTCCCTCCTGGTCAGCTCGCAATGCAGCCCCAATGTGAAAAAGTTTGCCCATGACTGAATCAGACCCATTTACTATATCCTAAAAATGAATGTGTGTAGTGCACATCTAAAAATACCTGCTTGTTCAGGGCATGTGTCTCTATTGTCTAGGCTACTTGCCATAAGCAGAAAATGATAGCATGTGTGCTATAAAAGCAAGTTTACCCTGACCTATAAATCAGAGCCAGCCGAGAGCAGAAATGATGACACACACCCTACCAAACCAACTGCAGCTGCAGGTTGGCATCTGCATGGTGCAGCCAAGCCAAAACTGTGTCAGTTCACTAGACTGTAACCTCACCTTCCATATTGCCAGCCAAACAGCTCCATGTGAGTTCCAGGCCCATTCAGACTTCAGCAGAGGCACCTGCATGGCCAGGATGAAAGAGGGGACCAATCTTCTCACCCAGCTTTCTGGTGGTTGCATGGAGCTTTGTGGCTGTCTAGGAGTGGCACCAGCACTGACATGCACCCAAACCATCACCCTTTCTCTATGCTAATGACCTCAGGGGAAAAGGTGATGATAGGTGTATCCTATGTCGACAGTGGCTCAATCCAAAATGGATCCAATCCAGCTGTCCACACTGCCCCAAAGCTTTGGGATATTCCAAAATGTAAACAAACTCTGAGGCATTCCCCAGCTTAACCAGTAGTGAGGCAAAAACAGCTTATCAAGGATTAGCCATTATATTCACTGGAAGTATAGAAATGTTGTGAAGAGGACCAGGAGTCAACTCAGAGTGAATATGAGTTTCCATGCCCATGTAGACTTGCCCTTAGTTATCTAGAGCATTCTTGGTTGGAGAAGGCTCTGTGTTGAGGTAATTGGGCACATTTTTGAATAACAAAAATATTCCATGCAAATAACTATGGGTAAGGTACTTAGAGGAGCAAAGAGAGGCTATTATGATCTTTCCAGGAATTATAATGTAATCATTAACAGCCAAGGTTTTGTCAGGGATAGGGAAAAAATGTGGCTGAGCACTAGTGAGGCTGGACAATTGATTGCTTTGGCTTAGGACAGGAGAGGAAAATATATTTGGGATTATAGAAGCTAGTGAAAGAAAAACTTTTAGACCCTTCCATTCTTACACTCCATATAAACCCAAATGGTGGGTGTAAGATTTCTCAGCATTAGGCTAAATACAAAAAGAAATGAAAAAGAAATACACATTTTCAGTTGCTACTACATGGGGAAGATAGAATTATTATTAAACAAATTTGTACTGAGTGAAGTAATTTATGTTTCCTTTTTATTTTACTGGATGACAGGATGGCAGGCTCCAGTTCAACCATGAAAGGTAACAGTCCTTATTATTATAACTGTTAAAAATATGGAGGGATTTTAAATGGAATTACACATATTCATCAGCACCAATCCAATGGTTAGTCTCTACTGGAGCAGACCCACTGAATCATCATGAACCTTGTGAATCAATACTTATTTGAGTCCTATTCATTCAATGGGTTGCTTATGTTGAGAGTAACAATTAGATTCAGGACATTCAAAATAAGACTGTAAAGGAGCAATAGCCCTGTTAGTTCTCTCATGCCTCCAGCATTAGAGATCATTTGCCTTTATATCCTGAAAAACATCAATATCAGAAAGTTATTACCCTTGTTTTTTGTTTGTGGGCTTTCCAGAGGCATCAAAGATGGCCACTTGTAGGAACAAGGAAGCTGGCCAATAGATAGGCCATTGTCCTCCTTGTAACCACACTTTTTTTTTTTGTTTATTGCATGGGTGAGAACCTCCAGTAATTGAACTGAAGTTTCCAGCAATTCTAACCAGCATATCCAATGGAGAAGGATACTGAGGGGAGTTACTGACTTTTACGAGTTATTAAAGATAATCTTATTCCCACCATTGGATATAGTCATACTTGTTTAATATGGGTGTCTCTAGAGAAGGCTCACAGGCAGTATATGGGCCTTTTGCCTTATAAGTTACATTTATGAAAGAGTTCTTACATTAGGGGTATGTTGTACTTCATAAGTCTTTTGTGGTTGGGTAAGCAGAGATTCGGGCTGCATTTGTGCAGTTTGACACCACTTTAATTGCAATGACTCAGTGCTATGAAATCATAGGAGCTGTTGTTTTATTATTTATTTAACCTTCTCTACCAAAAGTACTGGTGCCTTACCTAATTTCAGTTCTTATAATTCCCTAGCATTGAGTCATGGCAGCTAAAACGGTATCAAACTGCATTAACTGTGCACTCTAGATGCACTGTCAGTTATGTGGGCTGAAAAAAACCCTCAAATCATTGGCCTATGCTTGGTGTATGAGAAAAGGAACAGAGGACACAGTAATATATCTACATATTTTCTAAGCAACAGGAAAATCAGTTAGACATTCTTCTGACTAGGTATGTATAAGATATAAAACGTCCACAACGTCATATCCCGTATTTTGACAGTTAGATGTACATGTGTCCTAATTTCAGATATCTCTACTGATCAAGACATTTAGAAATGTGTGTGCACATTTCAAGTTTCCAGGAGATGTGGAAGTACCCTCAGTCCCAAACATCTATATCTATATAAGAAATCATATAATGTTTTTTGAAATGATGACAACTATGATGATGCCTCTCTAAATTTCTTCCAGAATCTGGATCAAACAACCTGAATCTCAAGAAGATTGTACAGGAAAGTGTTAATGGACAGATAGTCTCCACACATACCACCGACATTAAAAGGCAGGTTTGAGCTCACAGTGTGAAGGGGAAAAAAAGCACTTATATACAGAAAATCCTTTGGAAGTCCAATTATTTAAGAAAAAGAGTTCCATCCCTTACTGACATCTCCTTGTGACCTTGAATCCATTTTCCACAGTCTTGTTTGCTGCTATATAAACTGCTTCTAATTTAATTTAATATGAATGCCAACAACTTACTGTCTTATCTTAGCTCCTACTACTTTAAAAGCCAAATATAAATAAAGACATTATATGCTATTCTAGTTTCTGGTTCACTGGAGTTTAAGCATGGTAGCCAGTCAACAGAGAATCTGGCCCATCTCAAGAATTCTATGTGCTGCACATCAATAAGGGTTTTTAAAAAGAAAGTTTTTTGAAAGTATGAGAAGCAAGTTTTTTAAAAAGTATGAGGCAAGTTATGCACATAATATTAAGAACTTTTTAGTTCTGTAAAAGATAAGGATTAGTGTTTCAAAATGATCTCAACAATCAAGTAAAGTCTGCCTATACCACTTTCTCCTACAGTTATTGTTTACATTCCAGGTTTTAGTTAATCCATATATGACACAATGAAATTCTTCCCTCTTTTGCCATACTGAGTAGAGTTTCTGGGAGTTGTAGTCCCAAAGGAGAAACCTTTCCAAGCTTCGCTCCACATTCAATAAATGGTGACAAGGCAGTGGAAATACAGCCTGTTCTCCTCCACCAGTTGCTGTATTATGTTTGCCATAGACCAAAAATACCATAATCAGGCAACATGTATATTTTCTTGGTTGATTTATGGGGAAGTTGGCGTAGAGGGAGGCCAGCTTCACATCGATGGTCTGAAGAAGATATTCTTTGGGTGTCATTTAATTTTATGCTTCTCTGGTGTGAAGCCTGTCTAACATACACTGGCCACATGGAAGGGAATACCAGAGTCACAACGATAAAAATAAGCTTAATTTGCCCATAAAAGGTACCAAACAAAATCAATTTCCATGAGCCAAATCTTTCCCTGGGCATGTCATAACCAGTTGGTGACCACAATCCCTGGGTTGTGTAAGGAATGTTCCAAAAGACCTTGAATGGATTACCTAATTTTTCTAGTATGAACAAGTAATACCAGATAGATGGCTTTAGGCTAACTGACGTATTTTTTAAAGTTTATCACCAAACGTCAAACCAGCCAGATCTGACACTTAATGTTCATCAGTGGGGTAGAACAGGTTGTTATGATATTCTATGTGCTAAAATGTGTGTTTGCATCCTGTTTGGCAATTATGAGATCATAAACTGGATTTACAATCTCGCAACTGTTGAAGATTCATATTTACAGTTATTAATGGCAGTATATAACCCCACACCCATCCCCACCCTGCAAAAAACACCACTATTACTCATTCTGAATGTATAGATCACCTGCCCAACCTTTTGGTTTCCCTGGGCCACAATGGAAGAAGATTTGTCTTGGACCACACATAAAGTACACTAACAATAACAATAACTGATGAGCTAAAAAAAGATCTGTGCATAATTTTCATGTTGTCCGCCACCACAAATAAGCAAAAAAAAGTCCTTGCATAATCATCCTAATTATGTGGCACCACATTCAAAGGGTCTTTTAAAATTGTCAAGCAGGTCTTCTGGCTGAACTGTTTGCCATTATAATGTAAATTACTCACAAAGCTCCAATATTTGTACATGTAACCTAGGACCTCTTCACAAGGGCCACTGGAATTGCCAAATATTGCTGGGAATTGCATTGATCCCAGCGGTGCCCACCCAGGTGCCTCACACCATCTTGGTTTCCCCCCTACCTTATCACATGGAAGGAAGCTTCGTGTGTCACTGACTCTTTTTCAGCGGTGGCAGGTTGTTGGGTTGTTTTTGTTTTTGGGGGTTTTTTTTGGCACTTTCACCATAGAGCTGCCCCAGAAGTACTTTTCCGGTGTGTGATGGGAACCAGCGAGTTCTATGGCGAAACTATAAAAAAAACCCATATAGATGATAGCTGAGATTCTACAGATTGAGACACTGGAAATGACATCTGCTCCCACAATGATGGGGTGCCCCCCCCCCCCAAATTGTGGGGTGAGGCAAGTTATGGCAAAAGGCAAACTGTCTCTCCAGGTGCCTGTTCTCAACATACTGTGTAATTGGGAGAGTTACATATGTAATTTTATAATGTACCAATGTGCAGTACCTCATAAACCTTCAGCTGAAGTACTGCCGAGCTGCAGGTATAGGGTAGTTTTTTGTTTTGGATGATGGAATAGTCAGATGTACAGAGCTCCATGATTCTAATTATGTGCAGGATATCAGCTATCATCTATGCTTTCAAAATGAGTAGCGGTAGTATATTTATCTAAGCCTGGAAGAAAAAGGGTGGAATATGTTCTACCAAAGCAGAAACAGATGTGTTTTCCAATTATAGTTTAATAAGAGCCTGCTTTTCTTTTATGAATGGCTATAAATCTTCCTTCTCCGTGGAAGCAAAATATACTGACAGCTGCAAAAAAAAATTCACAGGCTACTCAAAACTCTTTCATAATGCCAACGGGGAGAGAAGATCAAAGGGTGTCCCTAATGAATTTTCGCACATGATGTTTTGCCTACACAAAGCTCAACATTGGTTTCACGTTCTTTGAATATTCAACTGTCAGATCATACTTTTCCAAAGTTTAAGTCTCGTTACCTGATTTCTTATGGAGAGATGGTAGGAAAACTATGCCCCCACTAGTTTCCAAGCTAAGGTATTTTCAGGGAAGTCTTGTTCTTGAGCAGAGAACATACCTCTGTAATCCATTTATTCCCAAACTCACAAGTTGGGAGCAGCATGGATAAACACCAGCCAGCTCAAAAAGAATGTTTGGGGCAAAATCAAACTCCAGAATCCCCAAATATCAGCAAGAGGGAGGGATCATCTACAACATTGTTATAAGATAGTGCAAAAGCTGGGTTGCAGTTAAACATTTAAAAAAACCCAATATTATGGCAACCAGACTGATTGATAACTGGCAAATAGAGGGAGAAAATGTGGAGACAGTGACAGACTTTGTATTTTTAGATGCAAAGATTACCGCAGACACAGACTGCAGCCAGGAAATCAGAAGACGTTTACTTCTTGGGAGGAGACCAATGACCAATCTTGATAAAATAGTTAAGAGTAGAGACATTACATGGGCAACAAAGATCTGCATAATTTAAGCAGTGGTATTCCCCGTGGTAACCTATGGATGTGAGAGCTGGACCATAAGGAAGGCTGGGTGAAGGAAAATAGATGCTTTTGAACTATGGTGTTGGAGGAAAATTCTGAGAGTGCCTTGGACTGCGAGAAAATCAGTTCAGTCCATATTCTAGGAAATAAAGCATGACTGCTCACTGGAGGGAAGAATATTAGAGGCAAAGATGAAATACTTTGGCCACATAATGAGAAAACAATAGCTTGGAGAAGATAATGATGCTGGGGAAAATGGAAGGAAAAAAGAAGAAGGGTCAACCAAGAGCAAGATGGATGTTATCCTTGAAGTGATTGATTCAACCCTGAAGAAGCTGGGGGTGGCAACAGCCAACAGAGAGTTTTGGCATGGGCTGGTCCATGAGATCATGAAGAGTTGGAAATGACTGAACGAATAAACAACAACAACACTGTTATACATTCTCAGAATAAACAACAACAGCATTGTTATACATAGTCAATCCATTGCATTCTATTTCCACATCAATCTAGATTTTTTTTAAAAAAAAAAAGAGAAAAAAATAGCATCTCAACCAATTACTTCTTCTAAGTATGCATTTTTGCTCACATTATCTTGCACTATGTACTTTCCCCCTAAAACATACATTTGTGTTCATATCCTAAAATGTATTTTATGCATGTTTTTGGAAGAAAAACAACTGGATTACAAAATTTAGAGAAATATAGACTCTGGAGGATAATTGTGTTTTTACCAGAATGGGTTCATCTGCATCAAAGGTTATCTGCCTAAACAGAAGAATGAACTGCAGAAGGGAATTCATACAAAAATGGAGACTAAACAAAATCCTTGAGATTTCTACTCAGCAAACATCGAATACTTCTGTCAAGGTTGTCATTCAGCTCAGCCCCCATCATAACACAGTTACACTTAAGGCCCATCAGTATTTGCAGGAAACTGCTGTACTTTTCCCTTGGTCTAGGGCCAGTCAAACAGGTTGAAAGCCTCTCTGACTTTTATTATGTGAACTATGAAATCAACTATGCCATAACAAAAAATGCAGTAAGGTGAGAATAGAATACCAACTGTTGTAGCCAAAAGTTGTAAACAACTGGTTTAAGTAATAGATGGGGTATGATTTACATTCATACTTCCTTAGTACTAAGACAATTCTGGGCAACTGTAACCATGATGGCTTCTCTGAGTCCCCTCGGGGAGATAGGGTGGAATATAAATAAAGTCATTTATGTATTTATTATTTTTCTCTAAAATTGCACTGTCAACCACCAGTATCACCATTTCAAACTACGATTAAACTCACTTTATTTGCTACTATATTGGTAAATATGGGTGGTTCAGAGAGAATGACTCAATCCTGACCAAGTCAGAAAGTGACCAAAAATTTAATTTCCCTTTGAGAAGTACTGCCAATTTAGGACACTTGAGGGGAGGTGCCAAATACCTAAATAGGTTTGGGCTAGATCAAATGACCTGGTTTCCATCAACAAAACCCAATGTCTGTCACATTTTTCTGGGACTATGAACACCACTTCCCAGGGGTGAAGCAATGCCAATCTCAGGCTATATCTATGGTATAAAATTAATGCATTTTGATATCACTTTAACTGCCATGGTTCAATGCTATGGAATAACTGGAGTTGTAGTTTTACATGGTGTTTGGCCTTCTCTGGCAAAGCTACAAATCTCTGGATTCCATGACATTGAGCCATGGCAGTTAAAGTGATGTCAACATTAATCCTACAGTATAGCAGATGCTACAACTGCTAATACTCTTTGACTATAATAGTTGGATTTAGACATGGATGCTTTCATTCACTTTTGAACTT